AGACCTAGATGTAGCAGCAAAAATAAAGAAGTATTTCATTTGTGGGGCTTTTTTTTTTCCTCCTTATCTAGTAGTTCCTTTGCTATTTGACAAGTTTTTCATCGGTATTTCATTTTGAGAGCAAGTTTTCCGCAGTCATGAAGGCAGCTGGTTGATCCAAACAAGTTCAGACACTTGATTCAAAGGTATCATAATTAATGATTTATCCAGCTCCTGAGTCTTAGAATCACACAATTGGGTTGTGTCTCTCAACTGAGATATGGTAACCGCAGCCAGCAGAGCTTTTTGAAGCCACATACATAAAAATCATACATGATCTTCAGCAAGCCAAGGAGAGCTCACATCACTACGTATCGATGAACCAGTGATCAACTGATTGATTACACGGCTGGTGTGAGCCCCTCTGCCTACCTGCCCCCATCTCATGGGAACCAAAAGGCTTTCAAAAAGTCGTATGAAAACTGTTAAACATGAAAATTGTGGTATGGCTGACCAGAAAGTATCCCCGCTGCTGCCAAGCACAGTAAGAACGGTTCCTGGTACCTCCCTTTCTCTTCACTTCTCTAAAGTTACTCTAAAATTCTTATTTGGTGTTTCTGTAGTTGTTTTCTTGGCTGGGACAACAAGGAAACGTCGTATTTGGTGAAATGGGTAGGTGCCTGCATACTGGGAACGCACAGCTGCTGCCAAGGCTCAGGCCATCCCTGCTGACTCCTCCCGGGGTCGGTGCCTGTGCTGGTGCCCTGCCCTCCCACAGAATCATCTCTGTTGGAAAGGACCCTGGAGATCATCCAGTCCAACCATTCACCTAGCACAGTTCCCACCTACAGCATATCCTTAAGCGCTAAATCGACCCCACTCTTCAACCCCTCCAGGGATGGGGGCTCCACCACCTCCCTGGGCAGCCCATTCCAACGCCCAACAGCCCCTTCTGCACAGAAATCCTTCCTGACATCTAGTCTAAGCTTTCCCTGGTGCAACTTGAGGCCATTACCTCTTGTCCTGACGCTTACTACTAGGTTAAAGAGGCTCAAACCCAGCTCTCTGAACCATGAATGTGCTAACAAAAGGCCCCACACCTTTGAACCTGGGCATTTTTTACTTTGGGTGTACAGGTTTTTTCCAGTAGATTTTAGTTTCTTATAGTTTTAATTACATTTTCTACTCCCTGTTTGCATGTTTTGTCTTATTGTTTAAGATGGAAAAGTTTCAAGGGCAAGAGAGGAAAAATGCTTTTGAAACTGTCACTTCTCTCAGTCCTGGTAATTCCTCATCTTCCCTTACAAATGCCCCAGGAGGTTTGTTGTAACAGTGGAAATGAGCTCAAAGACCTTATCTTTCAACCATAAATGACCAAACGTCATTCTTGACTCTCCAGCTGCCGACTGCACATGCTGACACTCTCTGTTGACTCCAACAGACTGAATAAACCTTGGGTTTAGGTATTATTCATCCAACTCAGAGTTTCAAAATTCTACCTCGCCACAGCTGCTGGTCCCATGTGCTGGTATAAATAGATATTGAGTGGACACAGTTTCAATACCCATCCTGCAGCAGCAGCACGCACAGGGTCTCATTTATTTGGGGGGCATGAGATCCTTCCTGGTTTTCATTATTCAAGTAGCCAACTACTTTTTTTTTTTTTTTCTTTTTTTTTTTTTTTCCCCCCAGCCCAGATGAGGATCCAGCAAAGCTGAACAGTGGGAGGCTTGTGCTGAGAAAAGCAATTGAAAACCAGGATTAGATTTCAGCTGAATTAAATGTCTGTGCTGTGACAGTGGTTTCTCAAAATACTTCATAATTTCTCTCTCTCATCTGCATCAGTGCTCGTTGCTAACATATTTCAGCATGCTAGTTGCTTTCTACCTTTTTGAAAAAGAAATGGGAAAACCTCCAAGGAGTTCAAATTTCAGGCTTTCTCCTCCTCCAATTTTTTTCAGAGGAAGATTGGCAGACATCAGAAGAAATTTGGGAGACTCTATATTGCTCAGCAACATACTTTTATGCAAAGGCTAAAAGCAGGAATATTAGGGCACCAGCAGCACTGCTAATGCAAAACAAACGGCATAATAATTAATTTGCCCCATTTTTCAGAAGTCTAGTTCTGGAATGTGGGTCAAACTGAGGTCTGGGTGAGTGGATCTATTTCCCCAACTTGGTTATTCCCCAACTCCCCTCCCCTGTTTCCAGCTTGGGTCTTATAAACACCAAACTTCAAGAGAGTGTAAAATTACAGATGGGTCCAGCAGTGGTTTCTCTGCTCAGATGTTTTTTTTTTCTCCTTCCTTAAGTTTACCTTATACTTGAGCAGAAAACGTGGCTCAGTCCAAATGGTGCATTTAATTCTGCTCAAGCCTTTTTTTGGTGATGAATTACTCTCCCATTGACGTGTCAACAGTTCAAGGTTAATTGTCCCTGGTTTGCTCTGGCCTTATCCCTGCCCAGTCCTGAGCCTGACAGCATCATTTCCAGACCAAAAATATGTGACATTTGCCATCAGGAAAGCACATGTGTATCAGACAGAAACACGCTCACTACTGCATTTGATCAGAGTCTATCCTTCACATGTGTCCAGGGACTAGCAAGGATGTTTCAGCCCAGCCCCGAGAGGCACACGCACTGGTGGCATTTCTTGTGCCACCACACACTGCACTTGTGTGCCCAACCACACACTTGCAGAAGCTGAGACCATGCTCCACACAGAGCCAGTGCTGGTTTGCTTCATCAGAAGTAGTCAGGAAATAAAACTACCCCCGTGTTGCTGCCTTTACGCTTTGTGGCGGTAGCTGTTCTCAGAGCTTACTCATGTAGTGTCTCCCCACCAGATCTCACATCTTCAACCACGTCCCTCTTAGGGCACCCGCTGAGCTCCCACACTAAAGGCTTCTCCTCACCTCCTTCATCTGCTCCCTCCTTCCATGATGCCCCACAGAACTCTCTGCTGCGGACAGAAAAAACATCTTAAATCGGTACGTCTGGTTTTAAATAGTTTGCGAGGAGCTTGAAAAGTATGACGGCATCTGCCTGGAGACACAGTGCCTCATCCCAGAACTGAGGACCTTCCGGAAAATAGAAGTGTGGGTCCCTCACAGCCTCAGGGATTGCAGTAATCAAGGTCACACTAAATCGATACAGGTTCCTTGGCCTTCAGAAATGTACCCTGTTTTTTTTGAAGGTTACTGACAGGCTTAGCACTAGAAAAGCGTAAGAAAATACTCCCATCTTCCCCTGCGTTAAACAAGTAGGATGCAGAAGTGAGACGAGCGCGTGTTGCGCTAACACAAATTAAGCAGCAATTCTAGTATCCAAGCTTCATTGTCTCACAAATATATAACCCCCAGATGTACTCATTTTACCCCCCCCCCC